ACCCCTCGCCACGCGCTGAGATGCGGCCACCTCTGGGGCGAGGCAGCCGGTTACCCAGGGACCCCTCGCCCCAGAGCTGGGAGAGAACCCAGGAGTCCTGGCTCCCAGCCAGCCCTGCTCTGATCCACCAGCCCCCACTCCCCTCCCAGCACCGGGGAGAGAACCCAGGAGTCCTGTCTCCCAGCCCCCACTCCCCTCCCAGAGCCGGGGAGAGAACCCAGGCGTCCGAGGAGCTGCCCCTACCTGACCTCAGGACCAGCGGCTCCGTCACCTGCTTGCCGTTGAGGTAGGTCTCAGCCCCCTCGCACGGCTCCAGTGTGACGATGGCTGTGGGGAGAGGGGAGCCCCCGTGAGACATACCCGTGGGGTGTGGGTCCCAGTCACATGGGGGGGTGGAGTGGAGGTGAGTGCCGGGGTTGGACGGACGGAGAGGCACAGTCTGTGGGTAGAGACTCGGCCCATGATTGCCTGTGTCATGGGGCTGGCTGTTGGGTGGGGGGTGCAGGGGGGACGACCCATGGACACCGGCTGCGAGGTGCGGGGGGCACCAGCGATCCATACCTGGGTGGCTCAGCGTCTTGGTCGCCTCCCGCCAGCACAAGAGAGGGGGAAAGAAGCGTTAGGGTCAGCGCTGCCCCGGTCCTGGGCCCGCCGGAGACTCTCCCCCCCCACCCCCGCCCACAGGCCTGCCTCCCCACCCCTCATTTGTGGGTCCGGGGAAGGGGGAGCCCAGGTCCGGGAGCGGCCTGCCCCAGAGGACCCGGGATTGTGCCGAAGCAGGAACATTCTGAATCCTGGGTCCGTGCCTCAGTTTCCCCCATGTCTCAGGATGGGTGCAGGGCAGGTGTGACGGCGACCGGCTAACGGGGCGCAGAGACCCAGGGGTCCGGTTTGCCCAGGAGAAAGACAAAGCCCGGAGGGGCCTGAGGCTGGTTTGGGACTCGAGGGGGGAGGTGGACATTGCCGCCCCCGCCCCGGAGGGGCCGCGCCCCATTCCCGGCCCCCTACCTTCCCCGGCGGGGCCGGTGCGGCTCCGGAAAACGCAGTGCTGCTCTTTGATGAACTGTCCCGTCAGCTTGATGTCCACGTCCACCTGGCCCACCCTGCGGGGATATGGGGGTGAGACGGGGGGCGGGACAGGCCCCCCCAAACCTGCTCCCCCCCACAGCCCCTCGCGGCACCCTGTCCTGTCCCGCACCTGGTCACGCCGTCCTTGATGTGGTAGAGCAGGCACTCTGACATGAGCGGGTCCTCGTTCAGGTTCACCAGGTGCGGGGTCTGCAGAGGGGGAGCCGGTCAGTGGGGGGCAGGGCTTGTGGGCCCCGCCCCCCCACGGAGAAGGGCCCTGCCCCGGGGCATTCTGGGATGGAGGGGTGTTGGGTGCAGAGATGGGGGGGGTAATTACAGGGAGCGAGGGGGGGGGGGGAAGTGTGTGGGTCTGTGGGGCGCCCAACCCGGCAGTGACCCCGATCTCGGCAGGGCTCAGTGGGGGGCGGGATGGACGCTGCCGGCCCGCGGGGTCGCCCCATCGCTGGCCAAGGAGCCCCCCAGTCCCGGGCTACTTGCCTTTTTCGGGGAGAAGACCCCCACCGTGCCACCGTCTTCCCGCATGGCCACGCCCATCTCGGCCAGGAGCGCCTCCCTGCGGCGACAGACCCAGTCACTGCCCCGAGTGCCCCAAGAGCGAACGGACAAACTTCCACCGAGACGCGGCCACCTCTGGGGCGGGGCGGCCGGTTACCCAGGGACCCCTCGCCACGCGCTGAGATGCGGCCACCTCTGGGGCGAGGCAGCCGGTTACCCAGGGACCCCTCGCCACGTGCTGAGATGCGGCCACCTCTGGGGCGAGGCAGCCGGTTACCCAGGGACCCCTCGCCCGGCGCTGAGATGCGCCCACCTCTGGGGCGAGGCAGCCGGTTACCCAGGGACCCCTCGCCACGCGCTGAGATGCAGCCACCTCTGGGGCGGGGCGGCCGGTTACACGGGGACCCCTCGCCCGGCGCTGAGATGCAGCCACCTCTGGGGCGGGGCGGCCGGTTACACGGGGACCCCTCGCCCGGCGCTGAGATGCAGCCACCTCCGGCTGGGCCCGGTCCCAGCACCCACCTCTCCATCCGAAGCGCCTCGGTTTTCTGCAGCTTCTCCTCCCACGTTTCGTTCAGCTCCGCGATGATTTTCTCCGTCTCCTGCGCAGGCCGAAGGGGAGGTGGGCTCAGGTCGCCCCCAGCACACAGGGTCCCGTCTCTCCCCCAGGTCCCTCCACCCCTCCCCTTCTACCCCCTGCCCAGAGCAGGAGACTGGGGTGCTCGTGGGGACACTGCCTGAGACGTCAAAGCAGGAGGGGGGGGGGGGGCTGGGAGCCCGGACTCCTGGGTTCTCTCCCCGGCTCTGGGAGGGGAGTGGGGGCTGGTGGGTTAGAGCAGGGGGGCTGGCAGGGGAATTGTTCAAGGTTGGGGGGGGGGGCAGTTACGTCCCCTACCTGCAGCCTCTCCATAGCCTCCTCCGTGCAGATGTCCTGCTCCTCCAGGGCGGGGAAGGGCTCGGACCCCCCGTTGAGGGGGGCGGGGGACCGGGGCTCGGTTGCGGGGTCGAAGGGCCGTGGGGGCGCTGGGGGGCGGCTGTTGGGCTCCTCCCCCTTCAAGCCTGGAACAGAGTGTTAGGGTTGGGGGGGCTGGGCACGCCCACAGCTCCCCTTGCACCCCCTCTTCATGTCCACTTCCCCTACAGCCCGCTGGGAAACCCCCATGTAATCCACGGCCTTGACCTGGCCTGTCCCCGTGCGACCCACCCTCTGCCCGGAGCGCTGCGCAACGGGGTGCATTTGGGGGGGCAGACCCCCTTTAAAAACCCCACCCAGTCCCTCTCCCCATTCAAACCACCAGCGTTTAGTGTACGTTCCCTCCCACCAAATCCCCTTAACTCTGCCCCGTGTGTGCGCGGGGGGTGGGGTGGGACACTCACCGCCGAGGAGGGGGGCGTCGGAGAGGCCCTGGGCGAAGAGCAGCTCCCTTAGCCGGGCCACCTCCTCCTTCAGTTCCCGGATGAGCCGGGCGTTGGGGTCCTCGTTGATCACCGCGTTGCACCGGATCTGCTTGGTCCGGTCCGCGTAGCTGGGCGGGGGGG